GGATAGATGGGTGGGTGGGTGAATGGATAGATGGGTGGATGGATGGATAAATGGATGGATGTTTATATGGCTGGGTGAATGGATGGATAGATGGGTGGCTGGATGGATAGATGGGTGGATGGGTGGATGGATAGATGGGTGGATGGGTGGATGAATGGATGGATAGATGGGTGGGTGGATAGATGGGTGACTGGATGAATGAATGGATGGATAGACTGGTGGATGGGTGGATAGATAGATGAACAAATAGATGAATGGGTGACTGGATGGATGGATGGATGGATGGATGGATAGATGGGTGGGTAGATAGATGAGTGGATGGATGGATGGATGGATGGATGGATGAATAGATGGATGGGTGACTAGATGGATGGATGGATGGATGAGTCTATGAGTGAATGAATGGATGATAGAAAGATGAATTTGAATGAGTAGATGAATGAATGGGTGATCAGGTGAGTGAATGGGCATGTAGATGAATAGATGGGTGGGTAGGTGTGTGGATGGGTGGGTGGATGGGCATATGGGTGTGGGGATACAATTTCCATTTCAGAGATTCAAGGGCTAACTGCTAAGAAACCTGTTCCAGAGCTTGGGTTCCTGGGGTGTGTGTGTGTGTGTGTGTGTGTGTGTGTGTGTGTGTGTGTGTGACTGAGGCAGAGAGGTACAAGAGCTGATACCATCCCAGGGGGTGTCCTTCAAGTACTTACGTCCCCATGATCCCCATTCAGCCTTACACCCATTCTCTCTCTGGCAAGGACAGTGCACATCCGCCATCTGAGTGGTCTCCGTTCCTGCAGGCTGCTGACAGCTGGGCCAGCCCTCAGCAAGAGGACCCAGCTGCTGAGTGTTGGCCGGCACTAATGAGCCCAGTCTGATGGCCACTAATTGAGGCTTTGGATAYCAGTGACAGAATTAGAGATGAAGGGACAGACAGGCCTGGCCCAGGACTTGGGGGTCCCAGCACTCCAAGCCAGGCCAGTGTCCAGCTGACCCAGAGATACCCGTTCCCAAGTCTGGATGCCCGGCGACTTCTCTAGGGGCCTGCTTCCCTGTCTGCCTCAGGAGAGAGCCTCTTCCGGGCTCCGCACTGGTGTAGAGGCTGGCGGGCAAGGATGGCCCTCCAGAAGGGCCAGGAGTGTGTCCTTCCTGCTGGAGAGGACGGAGTGACCACCGTTCACCTGTGAACTTGTTGAAATGATGTATGAGGCTTGGGGGCTGGGGCGGGCGGAGGAGAGGACCCTGGCTTGACACCTCCTGTGACTTTCCCTGGGGCCACGCGTCTGCCCAGCCACAGGTGTCTCTGTGGGACTGAGCTGCGCACCCTTGAAGTGACAGGCAGGGTCTGAGCTTCACTGAGATGCGCGTGGCCCTCTGGGCCGTCGGAGGGCCAGGAGTTCCTGGGATRGAGCTCCCGGTCTCACAGGGAGGACTTGGCAGAGGGCTGCGGGGGCTCCCRGCACCTGAGGACCGTGGTGGCTTTCCTCCCAGGAAAGGGAGCCGGAGACTGGCACACRTCACCAGGCGTGGCGTATAGACCACTCGATTTCCCGATGTCCATGTCACATCTACCCCAGGGAACATCCTGCTTCTTTGGCCTCTGATGGGCCGTGGACAGTCTGAAGGCCCAATCAGATGCTTGGCATCAGGGCAGGCTCTGGGCTCGGCCTTGCTCCGCAGGCTCTGGGCTCCCACGGCAAACCCAGAAATACCACTCAGGAGCCAGCCTCATCCCGTTGTCCCAGGCTCCTGCTTGGTGCCTGAGGAAGGTACAACTGGTGGCTCACTGCTTCCCCAAGTAGAGGAAAGAAGTGGCGGCTGCCCCTGGGCCCCCTCTGCCAGCACTCGATGTCCCAGTGGCCACCTCAGGGGGTCAGGACAGAGGTGGGTACAGCAGGGCAAAGGCCAGCACCTCTCCTGGCTCAACGAGAAGACTCAGAGAGAAAGGAGCAGGGCACTCAGGCCACAGGCCACTGTCCTGACGGTGGCCTTGTTTCTCCCAAGTCAACTCCAGGAAGGGGCTTGTCTTCCTGAAAGCAGGGTCAGCAGGGGTCAGGCAGGAGCCAAGAGCAGCCGGCAACAGGCGGAGATGCCCCAACCTCACAGGGCTGGGCCGAGAGCCAGGCCTGGGGCAGTCTTAGGAGACCTGCACCTGAGTAAGGTGCTGCTGGCCCTGGGACACTGTTAGGGGGTTGTCACAGTAACGGGGACCTCACGGGGAAAAAGTCCAGGCTTTGGGGTACCTCACGGGGGAAAAGGCAGTCCAGGTTTTAGGGTACCTCATGGGGGAAAAGGTGGTCCAGGCTTTGGGGTACCTCATGGGGGAAAAGTCCAGGCTTTGGGGTACCTCACGGGGAAAAAGTCCAGGCTTTGGGGTACCTCACGGGGAAAA